CGCTACAACCTGCAGTGCTAGCATCTCATATGGACACTGGTTTGAGTCCCAGCCACTTCACTTCCACTCCAGCTCCCTGACAATGTACCTGGAAAAACGTCAAAGGATGACCTAGATCCCTGAGTCCCTGCACCCATGTCGGAAACTCCGAGGAGGCTCCTGGCTCCTGTCCCGAGACCTGCCCAGCTTCAGCCATTTTGGCCATTTGGGGGAGTGAACAAGCAGAGAGAGGATCTTGATCTTGATTTCTCTCTCTTGCTCTCATTCTGTCCGTCTGTCTTTCCTTCTCTCCGTAACTCTGCCTTCCAAACAAATAAATACAAAATCTTTAACAAGTGTGTATCTTTTTCCCAAGAGAAAGCACATGCTCCTTACGTTAGAAGACACTTTATATAACTTTTATGGAATCTTTTTAATAAGTCATGAGTTAACAGGGAAAATAAAGTGCTTACATTGTTTACAAACACAGGAAATGAGATCAATCATATTTACTCAGATTTCAGCAAGAATCCAAATCCAGGTCTTCGTGCACTTAGGGCAGGCCATTTTCTAAACCAACCGAGGCAGAGAGGCAGTAGAGCCTAGGGATTTAGAGTGGCATTTAGTGGGGGTGTTCGGCCAAGTGGTTATACACAAAGCACATACAGAGTCCCTGGGTGAGTTCTGCTCTGCTTCCAACTCAGTTTCCTGTGAACACTCGGAGGCAACATGTAGCAGACCGGACTGAGTCCTGGGCTCCCGGCTTCCACCTGGCCCTGCCCCAGCCTGGGGATGTTTAAGGAACAAGCTAGTGAATGGCAACTCATCTGTCTCTATCTTTGAAGGAAGTAAATTCAAATTTTTTTGAAAAGAGTGTGACATTTGTATGACAGTAAATTCGTGTGATACTAAATAGGTAGAAATTTTGATTCTAACAATTATTGTTAGAATTTTTTTAGTCTCTGTGCCCCAATAACTACAACATGGTCATAAGGAAGATTATTTGAGCAAATATATCTTCAAAAACATAAACAGGGAGCAGCAATAGTGGCGGTAAAAGGCTAATTCTCTACCTGCAGCCCCGGGAGTCCACCTGGGAGCTAGTTTGTGTACAGGCTGCCTTATTTCCCATCCAGCTCTAATACACTGATGATCAGACATTCACACGGCTTCAAATATCCTACTTCAGGTTGACTGTCCCTTACCCAAACATTTTGCACTGGAACTTATGGATTCCAGACTTTTTCACATTTTGGAGTGTTTCAATAGGCTTTTACCTATAGAACATTCCTAATCTGAAAATCTTAAAAATGGTCAAAATTCTGAAGGTTTCCGAACATCATGTTGGGTCAAAAAAGTTCCAGATTTTGGCCCATTTCAAATTTTGGAACAGGAATGCTCTATTTGTATTGTTAATAAACTGCTCTGCCAATGTTTTCAAACTTTTTAAACCCAATTTTGAATTAGTCTGTAAGAAGCAGCATCTCATAGAAACGATGCCTCTGGGGCAACTCAGGGGACAGCAGAGATGTTTAAAACACTGTTTGTATCACATTCTTTTCAATACTGGCTATTTTCATTTGTTTAAAAAAAGTTTGAGAAATGGAACTTTGGCGATTTAACTCACTTTTCTTTAACTACCAGAGCAAGTTTAAACATTTTCCTCCTGTTCATTTATTCCAATTTATAGTTTCCTCTAAAATTTTTTCTGCCGTTGCCTATTCTCTGAAACTGTTTCTTTATAATAAATAATACTATGGACTATGCACTATCACTGTGCAAATCAAATTCAGTCACTTACATGAAGCCTGGCACATAGAAGCTGCTCAGCTTTCCAGTTAGAAGAATGTATCGGTGGTTGATCATATACAGAGCTTCAGAACAGCCAACACCGTTAACCTACAGTTCATGCAGAATCCTGGCACAAACCTTGTCTTGCAGAGAAAATGACATTTTCTTAGACACATGCAAAAGGTCGTTCCCGCCATATCTTTCCCATAGCACCTGTCTAACTTTGAAGCAGTTAAACACCAAGAGGTGTCCTTCACGGCAGGGAACATATGGCCATTGTGAAATCATCTGCTCTGTCCGTGCCGAGGCAGCCTCAGATGGCACCTGAAATCCAAGAAATCTGTAGCAGGTTCATTTTTAAGTTGATAATTTTCTATACCCATGAATGTAACAAATGATCCTTGGCAGCAAAAGAAAGTAGTTCCCCAGCCCTAGAGTGGAGTCTCAAGGAGCAGAGACGTGCATGTCCTCTATGTGCTTCAATAGTTTCAATTCTCAATATTGAGTTATTATAATTGTCTCCCACTGCCAAGGGCGGGTTCTTCATCTCTGATGATCACAACTTGCTCCGCCTTTCAAAGAGCCTCTTCCAGCCTCCTCTACCCACTGCCTCAACAGAAAAACACAGAATATGCTTTTCATTATTTGAGCGGGAAACATCACAAGATCAAAAGGGAAACTACACTAAAAAGCATTTCATAAACTACTAAATCTGTGTAATTGAAAGGCATCACGTCATCAACAAATAATCACAAATACCTTTTGGTTCAGAACTGAAAAATCCAAGTTAAAATTAAAATTGAGGGTTATGACAGTACCCATACAGGTGGTGATCTGGGTCCTACACCCTCCTGCTTTTGCTCATCACAGCGCTGTTGTCAGCAAACTTTTCTATTACTGGGAATCTATGCTAACGTCTATACCAATGGTTAAAAAAAGTGGAAAGAAAATAAATAATTGTGCATGAACTACACTACTGCCTTGCCTACTGAGTGCCCAGCTATCCAAACCTTCTGCTCACTCCCTGATGCCAAGGTCAGCTGATTGAAGGAGGAAAACCTTCAGAAGGTGGGGCCGACGACCTCAGCTTGTCAGCACAGTCTGCACATGGTTTATAATTTTCCCAGCAAAGGCACAGACCCAAACACTGGTCAAGTCCCCTGAAATGCATCCAGAACGTTGTCCTTGTGCCTGCTGTACTCCACACAGCTAGGCCAATGCAGCAGCGCCACAGTCCCTTGCGAAATGATCTCTTATGAAACATACAACTGCCCTCCAGGACCCAATCGGCTGGCTAGTCCTTTGGAAAAGGGTGGTGAGTCAGAGCACGGGTACAAGGGCTGGATTATTGGTTTAAGAGAAATCAAATAAACACCAATTCAAGAACTCAAGCCAAATGTGTCTAAGCATCCTGAGGGACAATTTCCTGCACAGAAGAGAAATTACATTTTTGAAAGTGCCAAATAACAAATACAAAATACTTCAGTGTGTTGCTTTTAATGACTCTACCCATGATTAAAAACAAAAAACCAAAAAACAAAAAAACAAAAAACAGAACAGAACAAAAATACCTTTTCACATGAAAGTTGGACAACCTTTACAACTACAGTACCAGGCTAGGAATCTAGTCATTCAACATAGAAAAGGCATTGCTTATAAGCAGGGACAAAGTGCCCCGTGATCATGCTGAGAAGTTTAAAAAGCTAACATTATCATGCCGGGGCGAACTGTGGGGAAGTAAGAGGGAGACAACACTAGGCCTCTGGTTCTTTCAGACGTAGGGAGTCCTGTTTAAACGCTCAGTTTTGAAGCATTTGCACACGAGTATCAAATTGCTATAGGTAGAAGGGCCTAGGGAAACTGCTAGGCCGTCCTCTCATTTACACAGAGCTAACTAGTTATGTTCGATGTTTCCTAACACAGAGATGAACCACAAGTACAGGAAACACACATGGAATCTGGCCAGTGTGACACTGCAGCTTCCCCAGTCCCACTGGTAGGTTCTCAGGACATCTTACTATTCTAATGAAACAGTGAGCCACATCAGTGACTGAGAGCAAATGTGTGCTGCAAAACACGATCCAGTACCTTCTCCAATGCTCTTCACCCCAGACCCTGTGTTTCCTGTGAAGACAGTGTACTTCCCTAGCACACGGCGGTGCCTCTCCAGGCATTCCCCAGTGGGGTCACACAGGGCTTTCATCCATGGCGTGAGGTTGGGGTGTCTACATCTGCCTCTGCCTTCTGAGCTTACTGCAAAGCGTAGTGTGGCAACTGATTCCTCCCTCAGCTTCTGATCATAAAGAGCAGGAACAAGAGATGAAGCTGGTTTTGTTTGAAATACACAATGCTTGCTTACCCACTCAAGGCTAATTTGGACACAAGAATAATCCCTCTATTTCACATAATCCATCATCTTAAGGTCCTCTCACCAGGAGTATGCAAACCCGCTAGCATGCTGCCAGTGCCCACTGCAGTTTGCAGAGGCAGCCATGTACAGGCGCACCACAGAGGGTGCTGCTGTTCAGGAAAGAGGATCAGGAAGCTGCTGGTGTGACGCTGCAGGTAACATTTGTGTCCTGGCTGCTCCATCTGAAAAATGGTCCAAGTGCTTGCCACCACATGGAAGACTCAGAAGGAGCTTCAGGCTCCTGATTCTGGCCTGGCTCATCCCCGGTCATTGCACATTTTTGGAGAGTGAACCAACAGATTGAAGATTCTCTCTCCTCTCCCCCGCCCCCTTCTTCCCTCTCTCTCTGTAATTCTGACTTTCAAACAAACAAATAATAAATCTTAAAAAGAAAGAGAATCAGGGCCCAAAATATTCTCCCTTCTGGCAACTTGGCATCTTGGCAATACAGTTCAATGTAGGATTGCTTTATCATCTATCAGTCCTGAATTTGGGTCAAACTAACATTATAAGGAAGAAAGAAAAAACATCCATCGGTAGTCCTCTCCTAAATGTTAATACAAATAAAGGATCTGTGACTGCTAACCACACAGTGACAAACTGATTTAGAATGTTAAAAAAAAAAAAAAAGCAAGAGAAAGGCTATTAAATGTTTACAAAGCCACTGAAACACGGCACTTCCCACCCACCTCATCACATCTATGTAAGCAACATCACTGGAAAACAGTAACTGTTAAAATCAGAAGACTATCTTATTCCACTTTGGCATCAAAACATTTAACTGCATTTTCTTAGTGCTGTGCACAAGGAAATGGTTTACCTTCAAGCATTTTCTGCAGACTGTTCCTCATGACATGGATGTTTTCTATCCCGATAAACTGAAACTTGATATTGGAATAATTGTCTTCGTTCTCATAGCCTTTCCCTGCAGCACGGTTTGCCATTGCATTAAGCTGCAGTGGTCAGCAAAACAGAAGAATCACGAATTATATTCAGGACATGAAATAACTCAAACATTATGGATACCTATAAAAATATTCCAAAGCTATGCAAAAAGAATAGGCTTTAATTCACAGAAACAATGAGCCATGTGGTTCCAGGCCCTTCACTCTGGACTTATATGCAACTCCAAGAATTTCTTGGCATAGTAGCATTGTCCTAAGTTTTCCAGAGTTGTCCCCTGCTGGTCCCTGGCAAATACCACACTGATGTGGAAGTCTGTGATAAAGTCATATGGCCCCCAAACTAATACCCCCACAGCACAGCATGTAGGCTGGTAGCACGTGAGCAGATACAGATATTAATATGAAGTTCTTTTAGTTCAGTTACTATGTCTCCCAGTATGATGTTAACAATACACACATTACTATCCAATTGGAATGGACTAGCTACAGGGATCCCTCAGATAACCCAAATAAGCCTGGAGCTGGACTCATGCAACATAATGAAAAGGGAGCAGGCAGATGCAACATCTGCGGACACGTTTCCTCCAGTCACCTTCCTGAAATCAAGAGGCTTAGACAGTGGGCTTTTTGGTCATTTTCAGGGCTGTGATTTTGTGTATGAGAAGCCAGGATTGCTTCAAATTATAATGGATGTTAAGAAACTGACCAAACTTAAAACTAGCCCTAGAAAATCAAAACAAGCCCTGCATTAGTTGGGAACTGCGTGTATATTTGGAATGGTTAAGCTCCCACGCCTAGTAATTTATTCCACTTTTGCTTCCTGTCCTAGGAATCATCTCAGTCCATGAAAAGGATTGCCTACCATTCTCTCCTCTACACACACACACACACACACACACAAACCTATACTCAGAGTCCACTATCAGAAAAAAAAATGTTTAAGAAAATAAGACAAAGCAGCATTTTTCGAAAATGTGCTATTTTTAAAATACAATATATATATTCTCTGATCCATACGGACTTGTAAGAATCTGAAAAAAAGTTAAAGTACTGGCACATAGACATAATGTTTACTGTAATATTTTTTTGTAATACTGAAAACTGAAAACATGTGAATATTGTAGTTACTCATGAGCTTGGCTACTACCAAGCGCTAACAAAAAAGAAAAGAGTATATGATACATGTTTCTTACTCTATAAACTTGAAATTGGCTCACAGCATATTAAGTGAAAAATGGTAGCAAATACTATTCAGAGACATCCAATTTTTTATAAAACAAACTGAGATAGGTGTTTACACTTAGGCAGCTTTATTAAGCCAGCAAAATTTAATGGAAGGATACCCTCCTCTGGCAGTGCCTATGGCAGCAGGATGGGGGGAAATGGTAGTGGATCAGGACCACGCTCCTTTAGGCACACCTGCGTTCATTCTGTGTTACAAAGAACACAGATTTCAGTTTGTCAACGAAATGGTAGAAATAAAGTGTGTTAGAAGCGACCAAAAAAAGAGGGAGACCCTGCAGAGGACAAGTCATTGCCATTAGGGGCACCAGCTGGTGGTCAGCTCACACGACACGGGCACTGCTGCTGCACACTGCAGTGTTTGCAGCACCCGCTCCAGGATCTCAGTCCCTGTCCTGGTCTACGAGACTCACCTTTCTCCCACGCATGTCATCGGATTCAAGGATTTGCTCTCACTCAAAAAAAAAAAAAATTAAAATAAACTGATTCCAAGACATCGTAATTTATGTTCCTGCTTTAAAAAGCACATATGTTTACAGGGGAATATTAAATAACACCACTCTGTATAATTGCGTTTCAAAACGACTGGCTTATCCTTTAATGCCAAAGTTAAAGCACTGTACCAGTAGGTCCCTCAGTGCATCCCAGGGTGAGAGCAGCCCTGTTTATTCTGTGCCAGCAAGAATTCAAGGGAAACCTACTCACCACATACCAGGCTCTCTTTTGACAAAGTGTGACAAATTAGAATCAAAATATCATTCCTACTACTTCAATACTTCATGTTCACATGCTTAAATACATGCTTATCTGTAAAAACTTACTGACACTCTTCTTTGTTTCAATGTGCAGTTTTGTGGCATCAAATCTATTTTGCTATAAGTTTTACCTTTTATACTTCCTAATTATTTGTGCCCACTTTAGGAAGTTCTTGTGATTAACTCATCACCTTCAAGAGATGGTTTAATTGTTCGTAAACACCTGAGGTTGTAATGGTCCCTTTCAACAATGCTTTGCTACATCTCATAGGTATGAGATGATGATTTTTATTAAATCATTATGAGATAATGATTTTCTAGTTTTAACTGTAATTTCCCCAGACCCACAGTGGCATGCAGTAGCATCAATTTCTACAAGGCTTTAGATTTTATTTTTAATCACTTTAGCAACACATTAGTACTTTTGTATCATGTTCATTAACTTCATGTTGATGAAAATCTACCCTTTTTCTCCCTGTTGTGGACTACGCTGACTGTATTTAGGGGGATGAATAATAGAAGTGTAGTGGAGACTGACACGTGCAGATATGGAGAAAGTACAGCATGTCTCTCCACATCCAGACCAAAGACAGACTCCCAGTGAAACAGTTGAAAATATCCTAGCAGTAGGGTGCTGGACTCTTCGACATTGTTCATGCCTATAATGTCAGGAAATACCTCAATAACAGCACGATGGACTTACGTCTGTTCATAGAGGACCACCCATTTTAATACTAGAGGGGAAATCAGTGTGTGTGTGGGGGGGGTAGTTTGGTGAGGGGGATGGTAAATCCCAGAGCCTATGGAACTATTATAAAACAATAACAAATAATAATAAATAAAATAAGAGCAAAGGACTGACACAGTGATCTCTGGAAGGGAACTGTGTACTTCCCAAAATGAACAGAAGGTGGCAATATTTAATCTACCATCTAAAGTACAGTTGTTCAGGAGTTCCACCTATTTTACTGGATCCATGGTGAACCCTCAGAGCAGGAAACACAATGTTACAAGCAGTAAATACTCAAGGGGTTATCCTGGACCTATTTTTCTGGCGCTATATATATATATATCGCCAAAGGGCAGCAAACAATAGCCCAGGCATTCCATAGTCAGGAATGTTTCACCAGAGTGTGAAAACCAGTGCTGGCTTCCAGTGATCTGGAAGGAGAGGGGTAGCGGGGCGGGGCGGGGGGGAGTGGCATTCTAGAAGAAGCATTGGGAAGAGAAGATATGGCAGGACCAAAGCAGTGGTGCAAAGGTTAGCTAATCGCCTAGGCCAGGCAGGAGGTTCATGTGGTGTAGAAGAGGAGGCCAGAAAACATTTAGGGCCCTCTACCAACAGGACCAGCTAAAACCTGTAGCTTCATCTACAGCGGTAGGGGGCAGAAGCAGACGAATCCTGAGCAGGTTTTGTTGATCACCTGGAGGTTGACTTTACTGCCCATGACAGAGAAGTTCCCACCGACTAGGGACAGAGTGGACAGAGGCAGGCATTTACATAGTCAGTGGTGATTAACAGACGGCGGCTCCACCCCCCTTGTGGGTCTTATGTCAGCCAGAGCCCTCAGGTCAGGCTGGCCAGCCTGGTCACCTTCATATAGGCCATCAATCCTGTAGAGGATGCAAAATGATCTTTTTCTCCCAATTATAGACTATGTGGATTGGTGAGGGGCTTGCTATAGTTCACTTGGGCACTCATTCTCTCAGTGATGACACGCTGACAGGTAAACCAAGTGGATAAATGACTGACAGAAATGAGGACCTAGCTCAACCCTACTTCAATCACCTACGTGAAACAGTCAGTTGATGTTACTCTACATGCCCATTAAAGGCTAGCCTGGTCATCATCTTTGTCTTGGCCTCTCAGGTTTCAATAGCAGCATTTTGGACGTGAATAATGAGGGGACCTGACCTGGTTGCAAAATGACAGCAAAAGCTGATGTGGGCCACACCCTAACAGAGGCTGTCACAGGATGGCCATTTTCCTTCCATCACTGGTTAAACTAAGAACCTCAAATTGCACAAACACAAAAATCCCAGAAGAATGTACCCTTTGCAACTATAGTCAACAAATGTGCTGATCAAAATCCTCCTTTCCTGTTCCCAATCGACACCTTGTGCAAATTTAATGGCCACAGAATCACATCCAGATATGAAATCTCCATTTAGCTTCATTTAAAATGCCAAGTCTATGTAGGATGCAAAAGGATCTCTTTCTCCCATTGCAGGCTATGTGGACTGGTGAGCAGTTTGTTATGGTTCACTTGCTTTCTTTCTGCCTCTGACGGGCTGGCTCGCTCTGTTTCTCTCTCCTATTTTGACAGAGGTGCAAAAGAGCCATAACAGGAGATTAAATGGTGAATTGTCTCTTTGCAAAGCTAGGCACGGTTGGATTCTCTTGTCATTCACTGCCACTGCTTGTCTGGCTAACATTACGTGACCATCTCTGTCCTTTACGTCAGAAGGTTCTAAATGCTGAATTGCCCAAGGCACACGTGTGAGTCCTTGCAGGTAGGGAGGACACACTTCACTGACATGCAACATCCACCTTGCTGTGCACCTGTTCCAGTCCTCTCAGTGTTCCTCGAAAATTTATATCCACTGTCCCTGCACCGGAGGACCCCAGGAGGCAAGCTCTGTGATGAAGATTCTGGCAAGATGGTTCATTTCCAATTTCCCTCCTCACCGTCCACATTGTCCCACAGGAAGCTGGAGACAGCGCACATAGTGTTCAATGCACCAAATGCTGCCATCTTCCGTTCTCTGCCCTCCGCTTCTGCCGTGATGGCCATCAGCAGGTGTGTGGTGGATCTGACTAGCAAGTGGGATTCCAGCTTCCCTTCTTCGGCAAACCCCTACTCGGCAGCACTGATTTTACTCAGATAGGATTTAATGGATAGAAACTTTCAAATTAGGAATTGCAGAGAATAGGAGAAGCATTCCTGTGATACCCTATCATACAAAGACATCCCTCACATGGTAAAATCAGAGGTCACAGCTGCAAGCCATACTTGAAGAAGCAGCAAGAACAAAAAGGCTGAATGTGAACTGTGGCAGGCGCCAGCTGGCACCTCATTCCTTTCTTCTCCGCAGGTCTACACCTTCTCCAGAGCTAACTGGCATAGCTCAGGGCTCCCTGGCTCCTCTGGCCCCAGCCTGACATTGGATGAACTTCTGCTTGCTTCCCAGCTCCGAATCTCCACCTCGCTGAGCACGCATGCAGAGGTGCCAGCCATCTGAGCCTTAAAACATAAACAAGGCTCCACTGAGACCTTTACTGGACAGAAAACAATGAACCAAAACAAAGCAGTACACTCCCTGGTCAGGCAGGATACTCTCTGGAGTCAGGTAAGCCTGGATTTCCACCCAGACTGTGCACTATGTGATACTCTCGAAGCTTAAGCCCTCATCCATGAAAAGGGAAAAAAGAAAATTCCCCTAACTTTCAGGAATTCTAAGATGAAACAATATCTTGACTTCTTACAAACAGCAAAATCCCATAACATATTACTGAAAAAAATCACAAACAAGGTAAGATAAAATGTCGATCCCTCATTTCACAATTTCACACAACAGTTACTAATTTTCTGAATGTACCATTACCTGGCAGTAACACACACATATATATACATATATATATATCTGAATTAATAATTCAATACATTTAAAGAATTTACTACCTTTGCCTTCCAATTATCTGAATCTCAACAAGCGATTAGGAAGGCTTTCATCTGAACAGGCGACTGTGGAAGCTCTCCTGTGAGGTTAGCTCCACTCCAAATGATCTGGGCTGCCTCCTCACCTCTCTCTTGTTAATTAAACCTGTATGCAAACCTGGAAAGAGTCCATTTGCCAGTGTCCACACCTTCTGTGGCAAACATCGACATAGTCTCCTGGCTGCGAATGAAGCCTAACACACTCTGAAACCAGAAATCAACACACATGATCTTTCAACAAATGAATACTCTGTGCAAACAGTTTAAAACTCCTGTGGAGTGCATATGCATGAGCAAACACGAGAGGAGGGCATGACTGGTACGAGACACCAATTTTCTTTAATGGATTAATGTCAAACTCCTTATCACTGAGAGTAAACACACTTAGTGCTAAATATACCCATCAAATCCAGTCCTCTGGATTAATTTATTTTAAATCTAGAGTGCTCCTGGCTCTACAGCTGCTGTGTTTCCTAGAAGGCTTACATAACATTGTACAAGTGTGGCTCACTGCCCTTAAAGTAGTAGAGGCAACCGATTGCCTTCAGTTAAATCTGGAAAAATAGGATAGCAGAGTTCTTGCCTTTTCCTCCTTTTCTGCTCTTATCTTGTCTTCAGTTTATCTGCTGAAGGAGGCGACATTCAGTTATCTATAATGATTAAGAAATCCCAAACTGCTGCATCTGACTCACAAAAGGTCAGCAGGAGAAAGTGGGTGGCAGTTAACTCCCGGAAGAAGGGGTCTTAACCCCAGGAGCCCAAGAGAAAAGCACATATCCAAAGAGAAAAGTAAAAAAAAGATTTCCTGGATCTTTCAAAGGAGAATATTCAGAGAAGCTATTTTTTTTATTTGCAGTGTAATTTGAGAATTCTTTTTAAAGGATTGGCTCCTTTGCAAAAAAAAAATGTACCAGACCATGAACGCAATTCAGCTTTAGTATAAGGGTGTCTTCAAAATGCATATTTTGAAAAAACTATGCATTGACTTAAAATATTTTCTGCACCAAAATAAACTTTGGTTCCACTGTTTCATGACCCTTTGAAGAACCTGTGGATACTTCATCGTTCATCTCTACTTATTTCTGACCTGGCATCCGAGAGGATCACCACCCTCACTACTCCTCCACACTGACCACCCCACTCAGAATCAGATGGGCTGTTTTAGGACAAGGACATAACCAACTCACTGATCTCACTCTAGACCGTGGTATGTGAACCAAGGCATCCACCAGTACTGGTGAAATGACATTGAGATGCAGTGAAAGCCACTGCGGCCTGAGCATCCACACAGGGACAAGACTCAGTTCACCCCGTTCCTCAGATCACCTTGAATAGACACTAGACCAAATCTATAATTAACTTATTCTATTCCTAATGATACTTTAGGTGATTTAAGCTGCTGGCACTGTATTTTGCCTTCTGTTGGAATTATTTTCTTTCTTTTGTATAGCTTCATTGACACATAATCCACATGTCCTACAATCCACCTATTTAAAGTGCACAATTTACTAGTATTTCGTATATTCAGTCACCTCTCATTTCTTCTATGCCCCCAGCCCTGGACAATCATGAGCCTTCTTTGTCACCGTTAATTTACCTATTCTGGGCATTTCATGTAAAGAACCTTAAAATACTGGTACTTTGGAGACTTTTTTTTCCCACCTAGCATACCATTTTAAAAGTTCATTCATATTGTAGTATGTATCAATATTATCTTCCTTTGTATGGCTAAATAACACTCTATTCTATGGATACACCAGCTGAACATTTGGTTATTCCCACTTGGAGGCTATTTGTGCTGAATAAATACTCATAGAAACATTTTTACTGGAGGTATGTTCCCATTTACTTTGAGCATACAGCTAGGAATGGAATTACTCAGTCATATATGAGAACTCCATTAAATATAAAGTTTGTTATGCTCTTTTGACTTTTTAATGGTTAAAAAACATGTCAAATTGTGATCTAGAAAGATTTTTTCAGACTCATAAGTCATACAGTAGCATCATTTTCTCCAAAAAAGTTTTTTTATTTTCTTTTTCATTTCTTCAACAACACTTTGATCATTCAGTAGCATGTTATTTAACTTCATGGTGTTATACATTTTTTTAACTTCCTGTTGTTGATTTTGTTTCATGGCTTTTCACTTAAAGGAATGTATAGTAACTGTGTAATAGACTATCATGTCTCCACTTACTAGGTGGGTGCAGGGTTTCTGAGCCCCAGGGGTGGGCGATCCAGCAGGGCTTGGACCACCCAGCCCAGGTCCCGGGACCCACTACTAGGCAAGTACTGGAATCAAGAGCCCCAGGAGTGGGGGTCTGGTGACACTTGGGACACCTGGCCTGGGCCCTTGGACTCGGCTGCAAGAACATATCCTATTTTGTGAAAAAGACGGAGCAGTTGACCCAGGCCCTGCTGTAAAAGGAGAATGTGGCAGCTCATTTGGTGCTGTAGCAGAAGAACAGAACTAACTGGACAACTACCCCAAATAAACAATGACAGCCAAAGATCTCTGTGAATGGAGCCAGTGGACGTTGGGAGGGTGACATCGTCCTCAGATCGGTGAAATCGACAGCATTTCAGAACTATCCAAACCACTTGCACAGAACCCTCAGATTATGTACACACTGAGACTCTGGGTTGATATGAGGCGATGGTGCCTCATCCCTCGGTACTGGGACATGTGGAAAGTCATGAGTGGTTTCCCTTTTTGTCTCTCCCTTTCCTCCAGAAACAAGAAGAAATAACAAGCAGCAAGGAATACACCCAATTGTCTCTAAGCCTCGATCCTCCCCACCCCGATCCACCATATAATCATCAAAAAAATAAAATTCATAAAAAGACTATCATATCCAGATGTGATGACACAGTGCAGTACACATCTCTACTTCTAAATAAAAAATGGACTCCCAATGAAACTGTTAAATATATCTTGACAATAGGATGCCGGACTCTGCCATTATCTGTATCCGCAATGTCAGAACACACTTAAATAGCAGAATGATGGAGTTACGAATGTTTATGAAAAATGATACTATTATAATAATACAGGGAAAAGCATGGGGGGGAGCTGAGGTGGGGGGAGAAAATCCCAGAGCCTATGGAATTATGCACACACATATTTAATGTATATTACATAAAAATTTTTTAAAAATTATAAAGGTTTCTTAAAATCTACCTCCCATTCTGCTAGAAAAGTTACCTATTGACCTTTTGGTATAGACTTCCCTCCAGTTTTCTCCCTGGGATCACATCACACGTACTTTTATCACCCACTCCTATTGCTTAATCAGCCATACCCACCTGCAGGGGCGGAGCTCTAGGTCTTGCTGTCTCATTAGTCAAGGTACATGCACATGCGCATTGCTGGATATAAACTGCAGTGGCAAACATGCTGGACAAAGGGTACTGCATTCTGTAATCTCATTCTGTCCTAAATATTCACTACACTTATAGATGGCTTTGCCTCTCTGTCTTCACTGGCACACGCCTCCGGGAACCCTGTTTGTTCATTTGTTCTAAAAGAACTGGCGCTAAAATTGCAGACAATTTTGGGCCTCGTCCTGATCACTCTTCCAAAAACACGTAAATCTAGTAGTAGGTGAGTGTAACATCAACCTGGCATATCTCTAGATGCCTACATTGTGTTATTTCCTATCAGCTGTTAAATTAAATCAGAAAATGAATATATGTATAATTATAAAGTGACATTTTCCTAACAATGGAAAATAGAAAGTTCTGTTCCTTTCCAAAATTGACATCTTTCTCCAAGGAACTGTAAAAGTGTCATGTTTATCCTTCCAATTTTTCCTATAATTTTTATATATTTAAAGTTATGTGACTTTGTTTTCTAAGTTAACTTAATATTTTGTAAATCTTTCCAAGTTATAGGAAAGCAGCATTTGAAAACAGACAGCCGAGTATCTTGCAAGAATCGAACTGTCGGAGCTCCAGAGCATACCTTCTACTGTCAGTGGAGAAAGGGCTCTTCTAGAAACAAGTCAAATATTACTTTTGTGTATTTGGAAGAGCAATCACCAAAACTCAGAGATTCACTGATCATGTGACACAATGTGCCTGGCACAGTGCTGGCGTGTCCAGTGCTCCTGTTTCAGGGCTGCAGGTGCCAAGGCTTGCCAGGAAGCAGCCCAGCAGTCCACATGGTGACTGCCCGGAGAGGGAGCTGCCACGCACCAGGGAGGAGGGCAGGCCAGTCGGCTCTGCCCTGGCTCCCGCTCCATGACTCAGAGCTGCAGAGCCAGACATCACGGGATGGCAACTTACTTTAGGACGAGTGTCCACGACGTAAATGAAGTCGCTTCCTGGATTGGCTTTCCTGATGGCCTGCAGCATCTGCTCGTCCTCCAAGCAGCGAGCACTGAAGCCGGACAGGGGCTGGCTGCTCCTGCAGATGGAGGCCTGGAGAAGCAGAGGGGAGAGACCACAGCGACATGGCACCATCAGGCAACAGCGACCACCAGAGACCCTCAAGCTGCATCTCCAGGACGAAGAGCCCTATGGACCACTTGCACCACACAATCTCCTATGAAAACACAACGATTCCCAGAAATTCAGGTTTATTTTTAATCAGGGTCAAAGAGATCACGATTTGGGTGGAAGGTATCAAAAGACTACGTTAGAAACTAGGCATGTGTAAAGGTGTTCAAATAGACTCCACATTACAGAGTGCAAAGGTGTTGAAATAAAGAATCAACTTTATTTACCCTGGCATTGTTTTATCTTCCTGCTAAAAGGAGAAATACAAAATAAACTACTACGCTTCCACAACCGGCAGAATACTATTAAGCATAAGATAATAAAAAGCTACTTTTTAAATGTTTCCTCATTTCTACTTACTAGGTCATGAAAAAAAAAAAGCCACAATTATCAGAAGTGAAATGTTCAAAGAGACACAACCCAAGTTGAGGTTAGGCTTGGTGACTGAAGACAGCAGACATATGCCTATGCCTGACTCAGTGTGCAAGAATCAAGGGCTTTGGGCCAAGCATGGTAGCCTAGTGGCTAATGTCCTCACCTTGTACAAGCCGGGATCCCACATGGGTGCCGGTTCTAATCCCAGCAGCTCTGCTTCCCATCCAGATTCCTACTTGTAGGCTGAGAAAGCAGTCAAGAACGGCCCGAAGCCTTGAGACCCTGCACCCATGTGGGAGACCTGGAAGAGAGGCTCCTGGCTCCTGCCTTCAGATCAGTGCATCTCTGGCTGCTGCAGCGACTTGGGGAGCGAACTATCGGACTGAAGATCTTCCTGTCTCTCCTCCTCTCTACATATCTGACTTTCCAATAAAGATAATAATTAAAAAGATAAAGAAGCAAGGCCTTCTTTCATAATCAACCTGTATTATCAGACTGCAACTCCCCTAATGGCTCTTCAACGGCGGGCTTGGACTGCTGCAGCTTTCCACACCCACGGATTAAACCAATCACGGGTTGAAACTAAGTTTACTAAATGAGTACAGACTTCTTCTCTTTGTCACTGTTCCCTAAATAATAAAGTATGACAATGATTCACACATCTCCATTATAATAGGTATTAAAGGTGAATCCAAGTATGCACATAAGCTATATCCACATACTACACCACTTCATACAAAAAAACTCAAGCTGCTGTGTGTTCCGGTGTTCGCAGTGGAGGAGAGAGGTTTTCTGGAACTAATCGCCCAAAGACACTGAAGGACGAAAGAAGACTGCATTAGAAGATGACATGTGGAATGGTGTGAACATTTCCCCGAGTTCTGAATAGTCAAGAATAGATTAAAAACTTTACAGTTTTAAAACATTTGCCACTAAGTGTGCATTTGGCACAGGGGTTAAGCTACCATTTGGACATCAGTCTCCCACATCCGAAGACCTGGGTTGCAGTCCCAGGTTGATTCCTGCTTCCAGCTTCCCACCACAGTGTACTGGGAAGCAGCAGGTGCCGGGTCATGCAGCTGGGTCCCCGCTATCACATGCAAGACTTGCACTGAATTCTCAGCTCCTGGCTCCAGCTGTCATGGGCAAATGGAGGACCTCTGTCTCTGCAATTATCTTTTACATCAAAAAACATTTATGGCTGTATGTGGTGGCATTTAAATGAAACATAAATTACCCAATGAATACATGAATCAGAATAGGCATTCATCTTCGCTGTTAAGACATGGGTGTGTCCCGCCTCAGATATATAGGCTTAACTGCTGGTTCTGGGTTCTGACTCCAGCTTCCTGCTAATATAACCCAGCAGGCAGTAATGTTGGCTCAAGTACTGGAGTCCCTGTTGCCACCATGGGAGTCCTGAACTGAGTTCCTGGCTCCAGGAACAGCTTGGTGCAGCCCTGGTGTTGTGGCATTTGAGGAATAAATCAATGGATCAGAGTTCTTTCTTTTTGTTCCTCTCAGATAAGTTAAAATACATACATATATATATGACTCAAAGAACTTATACTGAGACTACCAGCCCACTGTGTAAGAAGATGGCAGGCAGCAATGGCCAGTAAAGAAAGGAATTCCTGTGGGCAAGTGAGCAAGAAGGAGAAGCAGTTTTTCACAACTGTGTCATGTCCATGTCTATTGAGGGTGCTTGAGCTGTTGAGTTCCATTCATCCAAGTCAGATCATAGCTTAGCAGTCCTTCATGCCCACCCAGCTTGATTTACAAGCATGCTGGTCTCTGGGAAAATGTGAGCTCAGTACTCCTCCCTGGGGAAGGCAGGGATGTTTCTCAGCAGCTCTAATGGCAGAGAATTATAGAGTGGATAGACGTGTAACTGGGCAACCCATCTGTTGGTTCCAGGACCATTCTGCAGTACAAAGGAGCAATTATAGAGGAGGTTCAAGGCTATCTAGGCCCTTCAATCAGATCAGAGTTCAGACGGACAGTACACAGGGGATAGGAAACAAAGAAGTAGCAAAGAGAAACTTGTAACAGGGAGAGCTCAACAAGCTGGGGTGGGATCCAGGGGCGAGGCAGCATGAGAGCAGGCGCCAAGGGTGTCTGTGTGGATGGGAAAAGGGTAAGCAGCATCTGGCGGACAGCAAGCCAAGTTGCCCCAGATGGCCTGTATAGGAACCCTGCTTTCTTTGATACTTCAGGGGTCCAGGTCTGCCCACTGCTCTAGTAGAGTTCCAACTGGAGAAAGAACAATTTTGAGCAATTTTATAAGATATTTTATCTTGGTTAAGGAAATCTTTGCTAGCAGAACATATTGAGAGGGGAAGAATCTGTGAATGCACATACCTAACTAACTGGAGGAGTCTTCCAATTAGGAAAGCAAGTGAGCCAGTGACAGAACCAATGACTATTCATACTCTGGTTGACTACAGCTAGTTTTTGTTCATTGGTGTTTTAATTTATTATATTGTCTATCTTACTGTCTATTTCAAAGAGGGATAGAGACAGATGACAGAGGGACAACAGACAGCTAGAGTTGCTATCTGCTGGTTCACTTCCCAAATCTCCACATCATCCAGGATGCGGACGTTGGGAGCTCGGACCTCAACCTGGGTATCCATCACAGGTGGCAGGCAGCCAGTCACTTATGCCAACCCCCTACCTCCCTGGCTCTGCATTCGTACAAAGCTGACACAGGAGTCAGAATCATGAATTTAATACAAGGCAATCTGACTTAATACAACACAAGCATCGTAACAGCTACACTAAACGTCCACTCGATGATCCTGATTTTTTTTTTCTCCAAGAAATGGAACCCAATCCTCTGATATGGTGCCTTTACAATTTTTTTTAAAGATTTATTTTACTTATTTGAAAATCAGTTTTTGGCATGCAGAGGTGGGCAGGAGGTAACAGGGAGAGGTCCACTCCACATATGACCATAATGGATGGAGCTGGGGCTGGGGCAGGCAGAAGCCAGGATCCCAGGAGTTTCACCTGTGTCTCCTGTGGGATGCAGGGACCAAAGAAGTTGCGCCATTTTTTCTGCTTTTTCTACATTAGCAAGGAGCTGGATTGGAAGAGAAGTCAGACTTCAACTGGCACCCACATGGGATGCTGGCATTGCAGGCCATTACTCAACCTGTAACACCACAATTCTGGTCCATGATTCTAAAATCTTAAGCCAAATAATATAGCACCCCAGAAAAAAATTAAGTTAGGGAGAAACACAGAGCATTCAGAAAGACCTGGCTTTTCATCCTTGTTTTGTTTCCACTCACTACATACCTTATTGGAACTTATGTCTATATAATGGGTAATAATATTTAAAACTGCAAGGTTTGACAAGGAATAGTGTTTGTAACATTCCTAGTATTGCATCCAACACATACAATGTTTTGAAATGTTAATTATAAAAAAAGAGACTACTGAAATCTTCCACAATTTTGCTTCCCAGGAATTTGTCCTACCGACTTAGGAGACCAGGTTATAAAGAATCTTGAACCAAATAATTAATTTTTTAAAAATATAACATAGAGACCAAAAGTTTATCAGACAAACACACACACACACAGATTTCTCAACACTAGTGACATTTATGTATTTGTAACCAAGACCTGAGAAGCTAATAGTTTCATATTCAGAGCGGAGCAGATGACTCTAAGCAACAACTGTGTGCTTTAAGGCTTAAAATTAATATTAAGGGTTGCCTTGCTCTCCAGTACCTAATTTGAAGGGGTTTGAACAAGCTCATCCAAGTTCCCCTCCATACTCTACTCCTAAAATTTAGTTTCTATGTTAAACAATTCTTATAAAATGGATGAGATGATGGGGTACAGCTCCCGTTTCCCCCGAGGAATGGGTTTCAATGTCCTGGCAGCCCATGGAATCATCCTAATAACTCAATCCCATCCCATCCTCTTGATATTACCTCTCAGAGCTTCCAGTTCCCACTCTGCTCCCCAGGAGAGCCCCCATGAGGCCTTTGTGGCATGTGGAAGTCTTCTCCCCAGGGAGTATTTGTCACTTAGAGCTGCTGCTACCCAGTGTTGGCTCTTGTGTGCTGGGACATCCCAGTACCCTTAGGGCAGGGAACCTTCTGTCACCAGCAAAAGAATAGGACACGGCCACAACACCATGCGTGATAACAGCTGGTCCAAAGACAACTGTGTACCATCAGCTGGGACATTTACTCCGAAGGACCTTCAACAAAACTTCCAGTCCACAAAATTATTACGTCACAAGTCTCTGACCACCATTAGCCAAATTCTCTTATCATCAAAATACACACCATTGTGGTACAGGAAATTAAGCTGTCTCTCAAGACACTGACAGTGTGAATCCCACATTCCAGTCCTGTCTTCTTTACTTCCAGTGCAGCGCCCTGCTACTGTGCCTGGGAGAGCATCTGAGGATGACTCAAGCATTTGGTCCACTTCCACTCACATGGGAGACCAGGATGGAGTTCCTGGGTCCTAGTTTAATCCTGGCCCAGCCGTAGCTATTGCTACCATTTGGGCAATGGACCAGCAGATGGAAAATTCTCTCCTCCTTTATCTCCCTGTCACTGTCAAGTTAAAAACAAACAAATAAATAAAAAAAAAACACATCCCATTGGTAATGGTATGTTGGAAACAGTATTTTAACTACAAAGTACACTGTTCTTATCCCTAAGCAAAAGTTTTACTAGAGTAGGGATCCATACTCAAGTCTAAAATCCATCAAAGAGAACAAAGAAAGAACAGAAAGTTTAGCTAATGTATCTACTTGCTTTTTATAGAAGACATCTTGTTTTTCATATGGTTTGGATGAACAATCATAGCATGAAAAATCACTTTTTCATTTTGTATCTTTCATTTAAGGATAGACTCACCAATGGTGATAATATTTTTAATGATCAAAAACCCTGGTCAAATGAGAAGCATTTATATAATAATCGACCTTGCTATTAAAATGTAAATATTATGAAGCATGCACTTGATCATTATTCTACCTTCAAATACAGATCTCAGCTCGGGCAGTGGGAGAGTGAGTGGGTGGTACATAGGTGCCCATTAAGCTCTTCCCTGGGGTAACCAGCTCCTGAGGGGATGCCTGGAAACACATCTCTGATTTTCTGTCTAGTCACAGCTAAATCTTACAGTACTTTCTGCTTTACAGTCTTAAATACAGGAAACAGATTATCTGGATAAGTAACTACTTGATTTATGAGTGCATTTTCAGGCCTGGAGGCCTAATAAAGCATCACTTGGGGCTGGGCCTTTGGCGTAGAGATTAGGATGATGGTGTAGATGCCCGTATCTCTCGTCAGAATACCCAGGTTCAAGGCCAAGACCTTCTCCCAATTGCAACTCCTGCTACTGGGAGGCAGCAGGGGAAGCTCCAAGTAGCCGGGTTCCTGCCACCCACTTTGGAAGCCCAGATTCAGTTCCCAGATTCCAACTTTGTCCAGCTCAGACCTGGAAATCTGGGCACTTGCAGAGTGAACTCCCCAGTGAGAGCACTCTTTCTCTCTTTCTCTCTGCATCTGAAATAAAAACTTTAAAGCACTAAAAATCTCACATGAGAGCAAAAGGAAAAGAAGCTGACCTGTGAGTTCTAAGTGCTAAAAATTCTACCCTAAGACATCACACCCTTGCTCCTTGTAATACAGTTACCAAAAAGAGTTCCTTTTTCACAAGAACACATTTGAAAAGGGGTTCAGGGTGAGCTTTCAGTCTAGCAGCTAAGATGTTGGTTAGGATGCCCACATTCTTTTTTCCCTCTCTTTTTAAAAGTTTATTTATTTTTATTGGAAAGGCAGATATACAGAGAGGAGGAGAGACAGAGAAGAAGATCTCCCATCTGCTGATTCACTCCCCAAGCAGCCGCAAGGGCAGAAGCTGCACTGATACAAAGCCAGGAGCCAAGGGCCTCTTCTGGGTCTTCCATGTGGGTACAGGGTCCCAAGGCTTTGGACTGTTTTCAACTGCTTCGGCCCTGCACCAGTGTGGGAGTCCAGAAAGAGACTTCTGGCTCCTGGCTTGTTGGCATCCAAGGCTTTGGGCCATTCTCGATTGCTTTCCCAGGCCACAAGCAGGGAGCTAGATGGGAAGGCAGACTGCTGGGATTAGAACCAGAGCCCATATGGGATCCCAGTGCATGTAGGCTGAGGACTTTAGCTGCTAGGCTACTGCACCGGGCCCAGGATAACCACATTCTACAGTGGAATGCCTAAGTTGAATTCTTGAATCTGGCTCCCAATTAAAAAACCCTAGCTTCCTGTTGACCCTGGGAGCTTTGGTTATGATGCCTCATGCAGTTGAGTCCCTGCCATCTATGTGAAAGCCCTGACTGGATTCTTGGCTTCTGGCTCTGGCCTTGGCCTAGCTATCTGGAGACCATGGGCATCTGGGGGAGCGAACCAAGTGATGGGAGCTCTGCCTGTGTGTCTGTCTCTCCTGTTGTCCCTTTACCCCTCAAATAAATAAGTTTAAAAAGAATAGGTGGGTGTCTTGTTCACTCTTTTGTTTCTTTTCCTTTAAGATTTATTTATTTTTGTTGGAAAGTCAGATCTACAGAGAGAAGGTGAGATGAAGGAAAAGATCTTTCTTTAGCTGGTTCACTCAAGGCACTGGAAGTAGAATGGAACAGCTAGGACACAAACCTGACGTATGCAAGGCCAAGATTTCAGCCACAAGGCTCATGTGCCAGGCCCCATGTTCACTCTTTGCATAAAATTATTTGGTAAATTTTTGACTAAGGTAATATCTATACATTTATTTGGGGCCACAGTGCAGTATTTCAGCACATAAACATAGAAGAGACATGGGGGGAGAGATCTTGTATCATCTGCACACTCTCCAAATGGCTCTAAAAATCAGAACTCAGCCAGGCAAAAGCCAGGCACCAGGGATTTCATCTGGGATTCCAGGTCTCCCACATGAGTGGCAGGGAACTGAGGACTCAGGACATCACCCACTGCCGTCCCAGGCACATTAGCAGTAAGTTGGATCAGAAGGGGAGCAGGAGGGACTCCAACTGGCAACCCCATATGGGATGCTGGCAGCATATATGGAAGGAGGTTCAATCCCTGTAGTTGCTCATTTCTTAAGTCAACTGGTAGCTTTTTCCCATGCTCACTTTCTAAATACGTTGCTACTACGATTTGAAAAGAAACGAACTCCACGTCTTACATTAAAAGCTAAATGCATTTATGTGAATGCTTGAAGGATGAGGATCCAGTTACCATGGTTGAAGACTAGACCTTTGGGAAGTGATTGGTTGGGATGAGTTGGCTACGGTGAGTCAGTGATGACTCTGCTTGAAAGGCTGGAGTGTGGAGTGTGGTGGAGAAATGGCTCTTCATGTGATCCTTCCTCCTCACATGCTCTGTCAGGGCCCGCCTGCCCTGGACTGCTCCATCCTGGATGGGGATTCTCAGCAATGTAGCTTCCCTCTAGGTGAGTAGTATTCCTGCCTAGCCCACCTCAAAAACGGCAATAGGAAGCTACTCTCTCACTTTCCTGGGTTCCTCTCCTCTCTCATTAGTAAACGTTATGAAAAATATGAAAAATACTAGCATCCTAATTTCAAGTCCAACACCATGGAATTTCCTATGCCTATTAATTGCATCCTTAAAAATGGAGGAAAGAAGAAAACAATGATTTATGTCACCTACTGTCTGTAGGTTGTGTGTAGGTGGAAATATATTTAGAACCAAATAATATAGCCTACCGATAAAATTCTTTCTCTGGACCCTATTTTGGAGCTAGGCAAATGCTAGAAGCATTGAGGGCAACTTAAAACGGAATAATTTTTATCACTTCAATGGTCAGAACTAAAGTCACCTGTTGCTGTCCTTCAGTGAACAACTTGGTACACAGAGCCAATAATAACACGTGTGGACTACTGACTGTTGGTCAATAGCCAAAGTTTATTAACAGCGCCAGACTTTTAAAGGAAGGCTGTCACGTAGGCCTCCAAGGAGGAGGGCCCTGAGCCATTTATATCTCAACAGCAAGGTACAGTTCCCCAAAACACAGCTAGTTCCTCTAATAGATTCTAAACCTGTGAACCAGGATGTATCCTGCTCATTCATTTCCTTATCAGTTGCTCCTGGTTCCTTCAGAGGAGATTCAACTGGCTATGTCTTCCAAAATAGCAAAAATTCTGAATGTCTTTCTACAATCACTGACATTTTTTTTTTCAAAGACGGGAACACAGAATCACTCTGATACTCTGGGGAGGCCTCCACATTTGTTTTCCTGCTTTCCTAAGGAACAGAACTCTTGAGTTTTAGTTGGTTACTCTTAGATTGTACTTTCTCAACTCTCCTATGCAGTTCTTGATGAATGGGGTGTGAGCAAGTGCGTCTCAGAGAGGTTTCGAAAAGCCTTCCTCACAAAGTTGCGAGCAGAGTGCACGATGCCCCCTTCACCTGCTGCCTGGAGCGTGCAGGTGACTACGAGTCCTAACACCATGCAAACTCTCCAACTGGCAGAGCAGAAAGAGGGAGCTCAGATCCATGGCCCAAACTACCCAGGAGTAAAGTTTTATATGAGAGAAAATAAGTGAGAAACCATAAAAGCCACTGTTCCTTAGGGTCTCTGTTAATTACAGAGTAACCTAACTCAAGCCTTTAAAAATAATATTTAAAAATAAAACCAACGGTTTCCACAACTAAATATTTCTAAATACAGAGGAGAATCACACCACTTAGAACACTTAAAAAGCCAAGTGCCAAGGCCTCGGGGGCTTTTCTCGCACAGGCGTGAGCAAGGCTCTCTAACATGGGCAACCCAGAGAGCCTGCAGAGCCCTCCTCTGGGGTACCGGACATTCTTCACCAGAATGATTAAATCCAGCCCTCTTACTTCCTGAAAAATAAACATGGAGTGTCAACTTACATGTACTTGTGAAGGGTTTCAGCAAAATTAGGTCATACCCAAAACAAGAATATTCTTTGAACAGAATTCAAAGAAGTATAGAGCAGAAAGAAGGCAGTTAGGGGGGGAAATGCCTGTTCATGACCCAAACAAGAAAGGCAAAAAATAAAACACAGGCATGCCTTGAGACTTACGTGGTTGTCTTTATAGTAGTAAGAAAGGGCAGGAAACCGCCGTCTACTCCGGAATTTGGAACTCCCCAGGATGATGTGTGCCGTGGCTGATTTGGGAACATACAGTTCAGTAGGGAAAGAGTCACAAACCTGTCACCGGAAAACACAAGGGGATTTTTAGGAAAGCTAGTAATAATACTTTGTAGACTGCCAGCAAAAATGCCATTTCGCCACACTTCTAGGTTGTGTATCTGAGTTTTCAGAGCCAAACTATGGGGAGATGATCTGGAAGAAAATGAAGCACTGCTTTACAGGAATCATTCCATGAAATCACTCTGAAAGCAGGCATGCTTGTGTGCTGTCCTCTCTCTTGAAGGGTTCTTCATGCAAGGTAAGGCAGTGACAACTGAACACTATCTTCTCCATAGGAGCCCAAATCGCAATTCTGGCAGCTGGGAAAACCTGAGCTGTCTGCATCTGATAGAAAGACAGCTTGACATGGGGACAGTCTCTTCCTAAAATGTGAGCACAGAGGTTAAGTCATGGGGTTATCTCTGAATCCAAGCATCCCTGCCTCTACGCCATCAGTCCAATAATTATCTAGTCATCAGTTGATAGACATCTGGATTGATTCCATACTTGGTCATTGTACTGCTATAAACATGGGAGTACAGATAATTCTTTTATACGCAGATTTCACTTCCTTTGGGTAAATTTTCAGAACTGGAAATGCTGGGTCATATCACAGATTTATTTTCAGATTCCTGAGGGATCTTCATACTGTCCTCCAAAAGAGAGGGTGAAATAACTCCTGTTTGCCGATGATACGATCCTAACACAGGGGAACCAAATGCAGAGAATATTGGAGAGATTGACAAAGTTGCAGGAGATAAAGTGAGCACACAAAAATCAATGACCTTTGATACAAATAATGCCATGGTTGAAACGAACTTGTAAGATCTGTCCCATTTATAATAGCTATGAAAAAATTAAATACGTTGGAATAAATTCCACCAAGAATGTGAAAAATCTCTACAATGAAAATTAAAAATTAACTGTTAAGAAAAGGAATTATAGATACAACAATGGGAAAAACCATCCATGTTCACTGATTAGAAGAATTCACATAACCAAAATGTTTATATTACCCAAAGCAGTTTAGACTCAGTATGAACCTAATCAAAATACCAAAAACATTCTTCTCAGATTTAGAAAAAAAAAAGATGTTAAAATTCATAAAGAATCAGAAGAGTACCCGAATAGCTAAAACATCACACAATAAAGCTTGAAGTATCATAATACCAGATTTCAAGATATAGTACAGGGTAGTTATAATCAAAATAGCCTGCTGCTGGCACGAGAATAGACATTTCAACCAATGGAATACATTAGGGATACTGGTATTTAACCCACACTTCTACAATCAACCAATCTTTGAGAAATGAGCTAAAATCACTCCCTGAAGAAAAGACAGTCTCTTCAAGCAAAGGTGCTGGGGATACTGAGTCTCTGCATGCAGAAGTACGCAACAAGAGCCCTGTCCTACAAAAGCCACCTCACAATGGATCGGGGATTGAACCCCAAGAACCAAGCCACCAAATTACCAGTAGGGGCAGGGATTTCCTTGAATAAGACTCCAGAAGCATAGGCAAAATAGGCAGATGTGGTTGCACCAAGCTAATATGCTGCAGCGCAGCAAAAGGAGCACTCATCAAACTAAGGAGACAATGGCAGGATGCCAGAAAGCATTTGCAAGCTGTACACTAGGTAAAGGATTAATATTCAGAATATAGAAGGAGCCCAAGAAACTCAAACAGCAACAACTAAACAATCCAGGTAAAAGATAGGTCAGTGACCAACCTTTATGCAAAATACAAAATAAACAGTCCCTTCAATATTGTTTTTTCTACATCTCAGTGGATTTGATATTTTTATTTTCATTCATTCGAAAAGGGTTTTTCTTTTCCTTATTAATTTCTTCACTGACTCATAGGTCATACAGTAGTACTGCTTTGATTCAAGGTTTTTGATTTTCCTTTTCATTTCTGTACTGGTCATACAGTAGTATGCTTTTTTTTAAAGATTTATTTTTATTATTTTCTCATTGGAAAGGCGGATATACAGAGAGGAGAGACAGAGAGGAAGATCTTCCATCCGATGATTCACTCCCCAAGTGAGCGCAACGGGCCGATACTATGCCGATCCGAAGCCAGGAGCCTCTTCCGGGTCTCCCACGCAGGTGCAGGTTCCCAAAGCCTTGGGCCGTCCTCGACTGCTTTCCCAGGCCACAAGCAGGGAGCTGGAAGGGAAGCGGGGCTGCCGGGATTAGAACCGGCACCCATATGGGATCCCGGGCGTGCTAGGCGAGGACCTTAACCACTTGCGCCACCGCGCCGGGCCCAGTAGTATGCTTTTTAACTTCATGTTCTTGTAAATTTCAAATTCTTCCTGTTGTTAATGTTGGTTTTTGGCTTTTCATTTAAGGAGATACATAACTGTAATAGAGACTATCACTTTCAGATGTGAAGATACAATGCAGTACACATCTCTACTTCCATATCAAAGATGGACTCCCAATGAAACTGTTAAATATATCTTGACAACAGGATGCTGGACTCTGCCATTATCTGTACCTGCAATGTCAGAACACAGTTAAATAGCAGAATGATGGACTTATGACTGATTATGAATAACTATAGAATTGTAATGATATAAGGGAAATCAGTGGGGTGGCGGAGGCTTTGGGAGAAGGGAAGAGAAATCCCACAGCCCATGGAACTCTATCATAAAATAATAAAATAAGTTTAAAAAGGAAAAGAAATAGGCCAGTGATATAAACATGCCTTTTTCAAAGGATGAAATACAAATGGGCAACAGACACATAAAAAATGTTCATGATCACTAGCCACCAGGGAGATGCAAATGGAAACCATCATGAGGTTTCACCTCGCCCCAGTTAAAATGGCTATCATCCAAACATCCAAAAATAACCAATGTTGGCAAGGATTTAGGGGAAAAGGTTGTGGGATTATAAACTAGGATTGCCCTCTATCTTTCCACATCTTATCCATTCTTCCAAGGCCAGTCCTAGGTCCTCCTCTTTCGGAAAGCCTCCTCCCTGGTCTTCTACTCTGGCAGGTTGCCAGATTGGACCTCCTTATGTGCCACATGTTATACTTCACACCAGCTCTGTGTTTGTCATGTGTTGATCTTGTAAGTGGTCTGAAGCTACCAGCTCTACACATCCCTAACAGCACGTTCCACTGTGAAAACCCATGCCTTGGAGGGAATTTGTCATTTAGAATCAGAAATCAGTGGCTTAGCTTCAGGTTCTGAGTGTGCAATGTCATGATAGTGGGAAAGCCAAATCACCCTGAGCATCCTGGCGTTCTAATCTCTAAAACTAAGACTGAGAGAAGGTTTAAATGCTTTAAGCATTCTATGTAACAATACTTACAAGAGAATTTTAGTGGTAGCAATGTACCCTAGTTGAGGTTGCTGTAGCTCAGCACACATTTTACTCTCAACATCAGTACACCAATGTTTTTGCAACATGAAGACTATTCAGAGGGCAGTTGCCTGGACTTCTTCAAGGCATAGTCTATCTCCCAGAAGCCAAGCATCTTTGCAAGGATATCAAGTGTTACAGCAACAGGAAGAAGTCCTTTAACTGTAGGTCCTCTCTTTATTTCCACTCGACCTTCATCCTCTTGGAGATGGGATGGCACTGTTCTTGCAAATTGTTCTTTGAGGATGCCCTCCCTAGTCTGTCTCCACTATCTCTGTGACCAAAATCATGAATCACACAGTGTACAACAAATGCCAAGTGTAACTTCAGAATCTGACCAATAACAATTAAGGAAAAAAGATTTTCCAAGTGTTTAGCATGTGTCCTGGCACCGGAAAAAAATTCCCTTTTTCAGAATAGATAGCCCAGCCTACTTGGACCTATAAAGTCTCTATTGGAATGAGTGCCATGGGATAGCACCCGTCCTTTCCCATGGCAGCCATGGGTTTGTACCTCCCACACAGCAACCGCTAGACCATAACTAGACAGACCACACCTGCTTGTCTGAGTGTGAAGAGGCATGCAGTAATTGCAGGAGAATGACAAGTTTCTGGAAAAAACAACTTTTAAAGAGAAGTATAATTTCAACATCTTGAGAATGAATTTCTCTTTAATGACAAAAGAGTCACAAAATCTTACAATTAAATGAAAAAGAATTCAGTACTAAGTGCGCTTTCTTAACATGCCTGTGACAAACAGCCTTTCTGAACAAGAACGGGGACCAGCGTACAGTTCCACCTGCAAGTGCTGGCATCCCATGTGGGTGCCGGTGCATGCTTCAGCTGACAGGAACCGGTGCCCTTATGGGATGTCAGGGTTGCAGGCAGTGCCTTTACCTGCTACGCCACAATGCCAGCCTTCTGAGATGGTAAATTTTATGTTCGCTTACTTTTATCACAAGAAAATAATAAAAAGAAGAAAAAACAACTATTGGATAGCACTATCTAGCAGTCTATTATTTTTGTAACAAATAAAACTTTGCAATCATTAATGTACAGCACAATGCAGTTTATGCCACTACATTTCCAAATCCTTCAACATGCCTTCCAAGATTTTATCTGGCTTGAAAAAAATACACATAAGAAAACTCAGAATATGAGACTTTCTGAAGCATGGAAAAGGCTTTTTTTTTTTTTTTTTTTTGCTCAATTTTTTTTACATTGATTGTCTCAGTAAACTAAGTAAATTAATCGTTTTGATTTCTCTTTCTTTTTTTGGTTGAAAGGACAGTCAAAGTCCCTTGTCTTCATCAAGCAAATTAGCCTTCCATCAACTTCCTCATGTCTTGATGCTATTCCAACCCAGAGCAATCTTTTGTCAACTCATTCACTCATTTAATAAGCTTAGAAAAATAACACGGGTATTATTAACTACTAGAATACAACAAAAAGATGAGTTTTACCTTTGAAGACTTCTCATTTTCAACTGGTTGGCCTGGTATGGCTTTGCAGAAGTGTACCTGTCCCTGTGGCATCATTAAAGGGGCGACAGAACCTGTCTTTGTTCTGGTCCATTCACCTTAGTGCTTTGGGTTGAGTCAGTTGTCAGGAACTGAAATAAGCCTACACAGGCATCTGTCTTCTTAAATATTTAGGACCTTAAATTTATTTCAAGAAATTAATGGTGAACAGGAAGCAAGGTATGAACAGCGTACATGATTAATGTACACATAAAATATTCTGCAATATTTAAAAATAGCTATAGGGAACTGAATTCAGCAAGCTTTAATAAAAACCAGTGGTTTGGATTATTCCATTTTAAATTTTATTCCAAGAAAATCTGACAAATTTTGATCTAGTAATTAATGCCAAGTAATGATTTCAAGGGTAAGGCATTAGAGGAAATCTTAGAGTTAGACTTACCTAAGCAAGGATCTTTTATAGGGGTAATATTCATAATAATAATAACAATCCATCCAATACCAAAAACGAAGGAAACAATGGGAGTGGGAAGTGCTGTGGCATAACAGATATCCAGTAGACAGAAGCTCTCTCTCTGTTGCTGATCTGCCGCCCAAGTAAAATCCAATCAATATTAAAATGGGAAAATGGCAGAACTGGTACCGGAACCTACACCTGTATTCTGAGGTCATTTTCACCACGGGCAACAGTGTTTTCCCCAGCAAATGACACCACCTGACCACTTACTCTAAAGGATTTGTGAGAAGTAAGAATAAGATCACTCAGGAAAGAATGAAAGAGAAAGAAACTTCTCAATCAAGGATTAACATGAAAAAGGAAAGGGTCATAAGTTTTCCAAAATAACGCAATCTTCACTCTCTAACTTGCTCGAGGGAAAAAAAAGTTACATTATCTTTCTTTTATTTCGCCCTGTTGATGATATTTACAACTCCTGGAAATCCCCAAGTTTTTACCATTTCTGTTTCAACAGTCTGTTGATTGCTTATTGGTTGAAAAGAAATGCTGGGGAACTCACATCTGTCATCCATCTATTCCCAGACATAAGTGACTGACTGAACATGAATCATGGTGTGTTGCTAACTATAGGACATCTCATCACAGCTAAAAGCCATCTGTAGTTCTAAGAAAATATTATTCCACAAGATGTAGCTTGGCCTCATTTTCTTCGCTGCACAAGGATGTGTCAATATTTTCTTTTCAAAAAAAAATCCAGTTTCCTTTACTTGACTTGGACTTTCCCTTCCTTCCATTTCAAAGTCAAAAGTACTATCTCAACCCATGTGTTTTGAAAAATTGAACTTGCATTATTTCTAACATATTGTCTACTCAATACTATGTCAATTAATTTGATGACACTGTATATTGTTGCTGATGTTTTGTTGGGGCTTTTAACTGACCAGGACTTTACTCTGTTAGCTCTGCCCTCAGACCAGGGAGGGTCGCCCCAAGTGGCCACTGGGCTTGTCTGGACAATAGGATGCTGGACTCTATGCTGGGTATATGCTTGCAACGAAGGAATCTCAACTGAACTTGAACTGTGGTTATGCAGCAAGGTGGAGGAATCCACCATGGATGAAGGGTTGTGGGACGGGTGGGGGGAATCCCAGTACCTATAAAACTGTTTCACATAATACAATGTTACTAACAATAAAAAATAAATAAATAAATAAAAGTTGACTTTATCATGAGAACACACTAGTCTAATTATGACTATGTAATGATGAGGTTTCCACATTTACAGTTCACTGTCTTGACATCATTATTTCCCAACTCATCTATAATGCTCCACATGTTATGACAAACGATGTGGAAGAACCTGGACTGTAGGTTATTAAGCTTCAGTATAAAGCTAGACTCTCATACTTTGTAACCTATATAGTGAGATAAAATGGAGGGGCAGAGTTTAGCAAACAACTAGAGTTATTTTACCAAACAATATGTTAAAGAAAATCACCCCTTTGCAAGTCACTTATTCCTCTGGGGGCACTCTCCCCATTTTCTTTTTGTAAAGCATCAATGATTTCATAAATTTTCCACCCAACCATCACCATATATGTGTGACACTCATTCTTGCTTCAATTTCAGTAGAATTCATGTTGTTGTGATTTTCAAACTGATGTTACTACCCCAAACTAGATCCTATTCCCACATGTTATAACAAGCTAATATGAGTTTATCTTGGTGCACTAAATTTTGAAATATATATAGAGAGCTTTCGTTAGTAGGCATTTCCCATGAAATCTTTAAGGTCTCATGTTTTGAAGCTACTTTACTTAAAACACAATAATTTAAGACATATTTGTTATTTCTGCATATTAATTCCAAACATTTCTTCTGTGATTTTTTTTTAACTTCTGAATCATATTTTTATTCCCTTCTTGTAGAATTTGTTTGATACATTTTAACTATTTTCAAACTTCTCTATTTGAGTTGAGAATATCTAATTTATGGCCTAAAACTCTTTGAAGTCCTTTCATGCAATGCAAAACCTGGAATTGCAAAGACAAAATGGCTTATCGATAATCACAAGGGGAAAATGTACACATACCTCTGTCAAAAAATCAAGCAAAAGAATCAAAATAGCGAAAAACCTCAATTTAGCCAAAGAATTTTACATCCAAGTAATAAACAATACATATTTTCACAGGCTCAAAATATTATTACATTCATCAAATGTTGTATGTCTTATGATTGCAATAGAAGGGAAGAGAAATTAACAACTAATATATAGATGAAGAACAAAAACATCCATGTACTTTAAAAAACTATTTTGTTTTTGGTACTTATTTTTATATTCTCTAAATTAACTCTCACAATGAGAAAAAAAACATGGAATTTGTCTTTGTGTTTCTGACTTATTGAAATCTTAAAAATAATTTAAGCCCTTAATGCCTTTCAACAGATTCTGGGAATTTAATCTTAGAAAAAATTTTAAATTAGGCATAATGAGATTACATCTAGATTACGCATATGACAAAAAAAAAAGCCAATAACCTGAATGTAATAGACTGTTAGACAGTCATTTCATGGATGTGAGCACTATGGAGCAACAATGAAAATCGTCGAAGTAAAAAAATAGGGATTCTAAATATTCCTATCTAACCAGAAATGAGTAATAGAGGACAGGTTAACAAAAGGCTAATAGACATGAAAAGCATAAGAAATAAAAACATGCAGACTAAATAAAATTGAGAAATTACCTATCTCACTATCAAGTTGTCAAGAAATTTTTAGAGCTTTAAAAACTCTTTCCTGGTAAGGGCAAAATCAAACACGCACAACTGTTGAAAATGTATATAAATTGGTACAACATTTTTATAGTCCTTTATGACAATGTTTAAAACAAATTTGTTTCAGCATTTTGACCAAAATTTTACTTTAAGAAATTCATTAAAAAAAAATACTAAAAAGTATGGGAGAGGTATATGTAAGTTGGTGAAACATGATGATAAACTAAACATCTAAACATTGAAGAGTAGATACAATTTCATATAGACTATGGAATATTAGGCAGTTTTTACAAGACTTTATAGGACCTGGTGCAGTAGTCTAGTGGCTAATGTCCTTGATCTGCAAGCACTAGGATCCCATTTGGGCGCTGGTTCTAATCCTGGCAGCCCCACTTCCCAGTCTGCTCCTTGCCTGTACGATGGGAAAGCAGTCGAGGACAGCCCAAAACCTTGGGACCCTGCACCTGTGTGGGAGACCCAAAAGAGGCTCCGGGCTCCTGGCTCTGGATCAGCACAGCTCTGGCCATTGTGGCTGCTTGGGGAGTGAACCATCGGACGGAAGATCTTCCTTTCTGTCTCTCCTTCTCTCTATGTATCTTTCAAATAAAAATAAATAATAAATCTTTTTTTTAAAAAGGATATTACAATCCATTTGCTGACAGGAAATTACATAAAAGGAGTGGAATACAAGGCATACAAATAACTCTACTTTAGTAGCACATGTATATATGTATATACACAAAATTAATATATACATTACAACTCTGGAAAATCACCTGCCAAATATACTAACAGTGTATATCTCTGATTATGGTACAATTAGGTAAGTTTAATATCTCTTGCTCTATATTTTCCAGTTTTAAACAATGACTGTCTACTACTTACACATGAAAAAAAATAGGAAACTATGTAGGGGAAGAAAGAGAGACTATTTTAAAACAGAGTATTACAGGAATGGGATAATGTGTGGTTTTGGTTCTGTTCTTTTGCAAACTCTCTGGAATGTTCTTATTTTTGTTACTTAACATTTTTAAAAATTAATAATGAAATGTATAAGCCCATCAGTGGCAAAAACATGTGATTATTTCTGCCATTTCTGCTTCCCTTCCTCTCCATGGTCTTTCCTATAAATGCAGACACATTTCTCCCCATCTCTCTGGGGAAGCCTCTTGGTGACCTTGTGTACCAATCAAGAGTTCAGAGAGCACAGAAAGGAGTTGGTGCCAAAATGCCATTGGTTTCTCTCTGACTTCTCCACTCCTCACTCGCTGCGCTATAAAAAGACTTGCTGGGAGAGTGAGGCCCTAGGCAGCTCTCCCATCAATGGCCCGCCTGAGCCTGAGTCTGGAGGGATGGTCTCTAACGTGCCATTGCTCAAACTTTGAGGTGCAGGCAGGAAACAAATACCACTGGAAAACTAGGAAGATCTGGAAATCCACACACATCCTACAGCTTCAAAAAGCTGTAAGATAAAAGCTACACTAAGTTATCTAAAACCACAATTTCACGTGGATTTCACTGATTGTCCCACTCACTCTGTAGTCTCTATTCACGTCGCTGAGCTGCCAGTAGTCATTAGGGAGGCCCATTCGCTTGTATTCTTCACCAAGATCAATCAGCTTCCAGCCTTGTTCCCTTTCTTCTTTATCCAGCTTGGGGTTGAACGAAAAGCAGTACAACTCCTCATATTTCACTGCAAGGAGAGGAGCACAAAGCCAAATCAAACGGAGCCAAAGCCAGAACCAAATCTTCCCAAAACATTGTCCCAGCTGGAGTCCACGAAAGGCCATCCTGTCTCTGTGGACAGGGCACCCACCTCCTGCCAGTAAAGAAAAGATGACCCTGGGGTGCTGGTATTCCACTTTGCAAGAACATCTTTCCTTCTAGAAACAGGGCCTTCTCCAACATGTGTTTTTACCTGTTGGTTGCTTTCAAAGCAACTATATAAGAAATGGAGCATAAACAAGAGAAATGTATATATCATTAGACACCAAGAACTAAACTGTAAATATAGGTTAAGCTGAAATTCTGGCTGACCTCTCAGAGGTAGCAAAAGTCCAGGTCACCTCTGCTGTTTCATGTCCTCAATGATAAAAAAGAAACAGGACAAATTAAAGTGCTGGGATTATATTAAATGTTTGCACTGAAAATATCTGAACCTTTAACAACATAAATACCACAACTGAGCTGCTCACAGGTAAGAGATTTTTCAGATTAATAAAACATCACCAGTTCATAGCACCATGATCAAGGGCTGCAAGTGGAAGACTGTGTCAATTGTGTCATGGTATCTGTCCTTTCATGTATTGCCTCTAACATTTGTGAGGCCACGTCCAAGGGTCCCATCATACCCTTTTCATCAAGAAATCTAGGACTTGGTCTTGGCACGTAAGAGAAGGATTGGGACCAGCAGCCTTCAACAGATACAGTATGATTCAAATGTGTCATTTAAAATGCCATTATGCCCATTTTTCATAGCTGAAAACAACACAAGTAATTTAATAATATATTTTATGGAACCTCATATATCCAAAATATTAGCAGCTCTACATGTACATAATGCAAAACTCATTAATACTTACTTTACACATTTTGTTTCATACTGGCTTTGAAACTCTTCGAGGCACAACTCAGTCGGAGTAATCATGTTTAAGGTACTGCGGCCAGAGCTAGCATGGTGGATAATGTAGACCAAAGCATTTGTGCTGATAATAAACGCAGCTGCTGCCCACTATGTCTTCCCACTGTTTCACAGTCTGTTCTCTTTGATTGCCTTGTTCCATTCTATCATTCCTGCCTCTGTCCAACAGGTTTCTCTCTCCTGTAGTTTTCTCAGGCCCTCCCATTTACTGCCGAGCCTGCTGACCGGCCTCTGCATGGACTAATTTATCCCTTGAGATGTTACCTGCAGGCTCTGTGGAGCATCCCACTGTCAGCAAGAGGGGCAATAAGGCAACTGGCATTCAGTTTTGGCCTTGTTTTGCTTGCTGTTGAGGTGACTCATCTCTGTGGAAGTACAAAGACAAGGGCCATATTTCAAGCACCAGATCTGTTCATTAGAAACATTCTCTTGGGACTCAGTAGGGATAGGGCAGCGAGTGTCAGTGAGCTACATTACGTTCTATTCTATTCTGTTCTAGTCTAGTCTTTGTTGACATTTCTAAACTTCAAAGCTTAGAATACTGACTGCTTAAAACTTGTTTTTTCTTTCATTTTTTGACAGCTACAGAAAGAACAAGAGAGAGAGAGAGAGACAGAGAGGGAAAGGGAGAGACAAAGCTCCCATCCTCTGATTCACTCCCAAATGCCAGCAATATTTAGGGCTGGGCCAAAGCTGAAGCTGGGAACCAGGAATCCACTCTGTATCTCCCACTCCCACATGGGTAGCGGGCATTCAGTCACTTGAGACTCTCTGCCAGGGTCTGCAAGGTTGCGAAGCTGGAGTCAGAAGCCAGAACCAGTTCTCAAACCTAGGCACTTCCAAATGGAACACACACCTTTTAACCATTAAGCTAAACCCCTGCTCCCAGAATATTGACTGCTTGTATAAATAAGAAACAACACGCATGTGCACAAACCAAGCAGATGCTCTCAGCTGAAAAAAGTTTCCTGCAATCTTAGAGAACTGGGCAGATGGCACATAACAATCTTCGATGTAAGTCTCTCCTCTCTCACTCTGCCCCATTCCCCCACCAAGTTGCTCCCTCTCTCCTTCACATTCTGCCCTCCAAACAAATAAGATTTTTTAATCCATGAAGAAGGTGCCTTTTGCATGGAAATATATTAGCATGTTTGGTTGATAGTGTAATTATAACATTTTTCCTTTCAGGTATTTTTAAGGGGAAGGATTATCACACAATCCTCAGGCCCAACTTCAGTAAAAGCCTATTTGAAGGCAGGGAAGTTTCTGTCAATCAAGACCAGTCAAGCTGATGACTCACAGGCCAGCCCAGAGGCAGCGTGGGGACTGTCTAGCCTGAGAAACCAAGAAGTGCCACTAGCATTTGTACAGGTTACTAAATATTCCTTCTCTCCTACTCGGCTGTTCATCTGACGCCCAACTCCTGTACTTCACACAGCAAAATTTTAGCAAAGAGTAAAATAATCAACTAATATTAGAAAAATCATGTTTTTGCTTGCAGACTTTGAAAAATTATATTCTACTTATTCTTTCTCTGAAGGTTTATATGCTCTTTGATCCTCATCTCCTTCCTGTCCCCATTCCCTGCCTCTGGCAACCATCATTCTTCTCTATATTTTTACAGGTTCAGTTGTGGTAGATTCTATACATAAGTGAGAGCATGTCACACTCACCTTTCTGTGTTAGGTTTATTTCACTTAGCATAATGTCCTCCAATTTTTTTTTTTTAGAATAGTTATTTACTTATTTGAAAGACAGAGTTACTGAAAGAGACAGAGAGATCATCCATCCACCAATTCCCTACCTAAATGGCTGCAATGGAAAAGAACCTGGAATTCCCTTTGGGTTTCCCACATGAGTAACAGGGGCTCAAGGACTTGGGGGCCGTCTTCCACTGCTTTCCTAGGTCATCACCATGGAGCTGGATCAGAAAGGCAGCAGCTGCAGCTCCAACCATCACCCAGTTAACCCACTGTGCTACAGTGCTGGCCCAGTGTTCTCTAGTTCTGCCCATGCTGTCACAGGCCAGTTGAAGAAACTGTTCCAACACGTGTCTATATCACATTTTCTTTATCCATGTATCCATGATGTGGCCATTATGACTAGTGAGTGCTACAATCTACATACGAGTGTAGACCTTTTTTCTGACAGACTGATGACATAACTTTTGAGTAAATATCCAGAAGTGGGATAACTGGATCATATGGTAATATTGTTTTTAGTTTTCTATAGTGGTTGTAGCAGTTTGCATTCTCACCAACATTACACAAAGGTTCCTGTTCTCCGCATCCTTATCAATTCTTGATATGCTTTGTCTTTTTGGTATCAGCCACTCAAACAAGTGTGAGGGATAGCTCTTTACATTTTAATTTACATTCTCTAAGGAGAGTGATGTTGAACACTATATCATACGTCCATTATTTACTCCTGTATCTTCTTTTGAGAAAAGTCCCTTCAGGTTCCTTTCATATTTCATAAAGTGGATTATTTCCTTTCCTTTTATAGATTGAAGTTCCTTGTGCATTTTATAAGAAAATCAAGAGTATTAAGTAAAAAGAAGGGCAAATATGAATCACTATGAGCAGATGTGAAGAGTGGGCAAGAGGAGAAAAAAGTTATTTGCTGTTTTCCGAAATACTTAAATCAAAGTAACTACAGAAAGTTCAACTTTTGCCAACATTCTACTGGATGCAGGCAACTTAAAGTAAATGCAATTCTAAGACCATTTGGAGAGGAGTATTTCACAGAGATTTTACTGGATTCTGAATATTTAAAATAAAAATCATCAGGGTGCCTGACTATTGCTTGTCTATTTTAAACAGATATTTGAATTACCATAAAGACTGCTGAGGGTAACATGGTGGATAGGGGCTTAGCTAGACTCAGATTAAGCATTACTGATAACAAAGGAATTACCACTGGAAAACATGTTATATATCCATCACTCAGAAAAGGTTTAACTTAAGTAAATGAGATTATGCCAGCTATAAATAGATATTCAGAACAGCTAAAGACACGTGATCTTACTCATATGTGGAATCTAGAAACATTGGTCTCATAGAGGTTGAGACAGGAACAGTGGTTAAGAGTCTGGGGAAAGTAAAAGGAAGAAAGGAATGGGATGAGTGAATGCAAGTTACAGTTAGATAGGGGAAGAAGTTTTGGGGTTGTACTACACAGAAGGCTAACTGCAGGTAACAATGTACTGCATATTTTTATTTTTTTTAAAAAGGGGGTCTTAGAAGAAAGGATTCTGAATGTTCCCACCATAAAGAAATAACCAGTGTTTGAAGAAATAAGTATGTCTATCCTGAGTGGAACATTCCTTAATGTATACCAGTATTGAAACATCACCTGATACCAAATATAGACAATTTTTACATACCAGTTAAAAATTTAAAAATGAAAAAGTGCAGAAAAAATGGCGATTAGAATGACCTCAAAACCTGTGGTTTAGTAAAAATGGAATAATAAAGTAAATTATTTAGATGTTGAAGGGCCCACAAGCACTAAAGAAGGAAAGATAATTGATAGTAAAATAAACAGCAAGGGACAAATTAGAGTAAGTAGAAAATAAAGAACATGGGAAAAATAGAAGTCTTCTGAGAAACAGGGATCTTTCAATCAGAAAATTTTATACCCTTATTAGTACATTGGATCTTTGAGGTTAACTTATTTTCTCATTTGGGCTTTAACAGTTCTTTTAATCTAAGATATTTCTTTGCCAAGAATTAAAGAGCTTACTGAATTTGCCCCACATTATTTTTTACGGGGATCTATTAATGTCCATGACCAAGTTGCTGCTGACTTTTGTTAATACAAAAAGCAAGCCAATAAAATCATTCCAGATTTTTTTTTTTTTTTGGTAATTCTGTTCACTTGTATCTTAAATTCAGTAAGGAAAAAATATTGAGAATTCTGAAAGAATTCTGCATAAGCCTTGACTTAAATAAACTCCCAAGTATTTTTACCCCCCTTTATACTTAACAAATGCTTCTCTATAGGATCTTGCAGTCAGCTGTGTCCATAAAGGGAGCTGAAAATGTATAATCCATGAGTAGCTAGAGAAATTCACCATGCCCCTAGAATTTAAAGTGTGCTTTCCTCATCAATCATTCACTCATTCTCATTCTCTCTCTCTCTCTCTCTCTCTCTCTCTCACACACACACACACACACACACACACACACACACACACACACACACTCCTGCTACTCTGGAAAAGGGTCACTGTATTTGGGACACTGTCTTAGATGTACCTGATAAGCCATTCTAACCCCAGCTGAGAGCCACTGTCTCAAGTCAGAACCCATCATTCCTTGTCTCCACTCAGATTCAAATCCCTTCAAAACTAAACTTAGAAACTGTTTAAGCTATTACTTCATCTTCCCACACGTACTAATACACAACTTTCTATACTGCTGGTGTTTCTAATGCCAATATTTCAAAATATGGGTTACTGCTTTGGAAGCCCCTCCAAGGTTGGCTTTAATTCAATGAATTACAGCCATTTCCTGTTTTTGGACAAGGTAACCAGTCAAGCTTGTGACTCCCCTAAACATGATGATCTACACATTTCAAAGCAGGGAGTCCAGCAGTTCTCTTCCCTGAGGTTCCCTGTGTGAGTCCTGGCGCCGGCTGGCTGTCTTGAGCCAGGCCCTCACTGCCTTGTGATGTGCCCTTCCTGCTGCTCCGACCTTTCCCAGGTCTCAGGGCTATTCCTAAACCTCCCTAAACCAGGCAGAGCCCATTTATTACCCAGTACATCCATTAAACAAGGACATAGAAACTGCTGGCACATAGCTCTCTTATTCTCAGCTGTGCGCAACTCAGCATACATCTTCCCAGAACTTTTGTTCCAATTATAGCCCACCCTCCACAGAGTTCAACAGCTTTCTGGCTTTCTCTGCTGTCCTTTTCAATACACTTGGATGAAAAAGCTCCAAGCAGCTGGCTTTAAAGGGGGTGCAAGGTCAAGTCAAACTGATCAGACTTTGACAGTCCTTTGGCACCATTCCTAAGAAATAACTTTAGCTCTTGGCCATGTACAAATGACATGGTCATATTCAAAAATTCAAGGACCCAACCAAATGCTTGGGGATGTTTCTCATCAGACTTCTTGTCCCTGTCACAGCAGTTAAGAGGTTGCTTTAAAATAACTGCATCCCGTAGCAGAGTAACTGGGTTTGGTGCCTGGTTCTGCCCCCTATTCCACCTTCCTACTAATGCACTCCCTGGGAGGCATCAATGCTGTTCCAAGTACTTAGTCTGTACCACACACATGGAAAACTTGTACTGGGTTCCTAGCCCCTGGCTTTGGCCTGCACAGACCTGGCTGTTGCTAACACCTGGAGAATGAAACAGCAGACAGAAGTTTCTGTGTCTCTCAGCATTGAATTAAAGATGTATAAGTAAGTAAATACATAAATTATTCTCAGACCAAGCCTAGAAGCATTTGGTAAAGTAAACATAAGCAAACGCTTAACTTTTACATAAACAATCTCTACCTCCTAAGGAACACAGACATATATTTCCTTTAGGAAACAATACCATAACTCACATAAGCCACACAGAGAAACAAAAATTACTTCTGTGGAAGTAAACAGTAAATTATAAATCTGAATACCATTCATATGAGGGCTAGAAAGATGGTAACAGAGAGCTTATTTTTCAAATCCAAAAATTCTTCCCACAACATTTAAGGCAGCTTGATTTAGGAGAACCAATCTACCCATACCTTAAGTAGCAGGAACAAAAGCCTAAGGGTGTCAACCTTGGAAAACAGAAAGCAATGGAGATCAAAGCTTACAAGAGGCGAGAACCACATTAGAACTGTGTGATCACAATGCTTCTCACATGAAAAAAATGTTCTCAGTTCTGAGGCCTCCTTCAGGATGGGTCAGTTATCACAGTGTGAGGACAGGATTTTAAGGTGATTTCCTGAATGGCCACCACACCATAACCTCCAATGACATGAAGTGAAAACTGAGATTCACCAAAGAGACCCATCTAGCAAGCACCAGAGTGGATTTTTAAAAGCTAGATAATGATATGTCAAGGGATCCTTCAGACTGCTTGGCCTCAGCTGCAGCCGGGGATGAGGGGGCTGCCAAACCACTGTCATTCACAAGCACCGCACACATTCTAGAACATGTTTTGTGGGTCCAATTTCAACGTCAAGTGTCCTTGCCCTACCTGGCCTTGCGAGGCGTATCAGAGAAATGTATACATCATGACAATCTCTCTCCTGCAGTATGATGAGCTGAATGACCTGGAAGTTCTTGCAGCGGATCAGCAGGGGACAGCCAGTAGCCGTTGTTGCCTGTTTTTCAATGGTGGAAATCTGACTGTGAAGAATCTACAACCAAAAGTGCATGTGAATACGTCACAGGCAGGAAAAGGGTTGACACAGGTGTTTGGGCCACACACACAGATACACAGAGGCAGGAAAATGCCCCAACCTCCAGCTGGCTCCACATGTGTACTCAGATGACAAGAACTGAGGTATTTCCAGTAAGAAGTAATTGCCTAGTCTATAGTTTTATTTTTCAGTACTAAAATCTTAGTGATATCCAGGCTAATTATTCTGAAGGAAATTATTCAGCATAAAAAATTACAGGTGTATGGGTATCAGATCAAGCAAGGTCATCAGAAGTTAGTCAAACATACTTTTTCGATCAGAGGAAGACTTGCCTCCACTGGGAAGGACCACCAGGCTCTTTGCGTCCACATGGGAGGCTCCAGGTCAAAGCAACTTGGAATTTTTGTTTTTGAAGCTGCTGGTGGTCAGGCAGACACAGAACAGGTTTATTTAATTCTAAAACTGTTTTTATTGATGTTATTTTTGGCTGACAAATCAGTACTGAGTACATTTATAAGGGGCAACATTGTATTTTGATGAATGTATATGACACTGATGATATCAAGCTAGTTGATAATGCCATTACCTTGCTTTCCTATTATTTTTTTATGATGAGACATTAAAATATACCCTGTCTTAATTATTTTGAAATATACCTCATTATTGACTATTGCTTATAATAACCTGCTTTGCAGACTTCTAAACCTATTCCTCGCCCCCTCCCTCCATATCTGGCACTCTGTACCCTTTGATCAAAAAGTGCCCATCCCAACCCCTTGCAACCACCAAGCTCCTCTCCAAGGAGCTCCTCCTCGAGCAATAATCCCCATCTCTCTGGGTTTCAGAAGCCACTCATTCTTTTAGCCTTCTCTCCTTAATGCAGGACCTGAACGTTATGACAAAAAATTAGTGCTGATCATGGAATACGGAGAAGAAGAAGAAATCTACAATACAGAGATTCTGCTTCCGGTCAAAACACTATGGTTGTGTCCCTTTATAAAATAAGGAATACCAATTATTTTTTATAAGCATCTTAAACAGCAAAAATATCTGCTCTAGCTCATCCCTTTAATAATCAGAAAAGTTGACATGACATAATAAAATAGCTGAGTGACCACACTATAGTATAAAGCATATTGTAGATACAGTACTAAGAAAATGCTGCAACAGCATACTGCCATTATTAAAGCACTCCTTGATAGAGAGGAGCCACCTGCATCCTCTACTGGACAGGCCTACCTTTCACGATGTTCAAATTATCAGTGTTTAAAATTAGGAGCAAACAGAGAAGCAGTCAAGATTATGGAATAAGGCAAGGTACTCATTACAGAAAGTCTTCTCAACTCCCAAATACCAATAGCCCACCTACTTCATCATGTGAACAAACAGAAAAATGGAGGGCCAAAACTTTTCACTTCAAACCACGTGAAACATGCAAAGAAAAATGAGGAATGCATACCCATGTTTCTTTTCTTGTGTCAGGTGCATTTTCCACAAATATCACATGAGTAGCTGTCAAGTACAAAGTACCCACAACTGGTTTTTTAGAAGATACTCGATCTGCCAAGCGGACATTTTCAACCTAGGAAAATGTTTGAGGGAGAGAGTTACAAAGTAATACAAATGAGCAAGTCACAAAAACAAATGCTAAACAGGAAATCTCTTACTCCAAATAGAATTTTGGGAATTCCTTCCATGACAAACACTAAAGCATGCTCCTTAACGGGATCTCAGAATACAATTCTGTCCATCAAGATAAAAATTAACCAAAATTTCTTTATTACTTTGAATGCATCATAACAGATTTTGTACAACATAATAAGACTACCTTCTCTGTGTTTTTCATAGGTCAGCAACTTTGTTTCATTGCAATTACATAAATTTCTAATTTAGGCAGAAAATGTATGCATTAAATTCTGAGTTTACACAATTGTGTATAAATTATATACCATTAAAAAAAGAGAGGAATGGTCTCCTATGCATTTCTAAGTTGTAGAAATGGTCTTAATGTTGTTTGCTTCCATAGAGACCAGCAGAAAATACAAATACAAAAAGGTATCCAAAAAACACATATAAAGAAAACTTACCAATTTAAGAACCTCACATTCACTTGTAACAGCATCTTCTAATGAATGAAATTCTCACTGCTAAGCTAAAACTCAAACTGTAGAAGGGATTTTTGGAGACCATTTCTATCAAGTATTTATCTCTTCTAAGAACAGATTCACAGGATATGTATGGGGGTCATCCCAACATAAAATGTAATGGCACCAACAAGACAATCCTGACAGAGGAAGTGACTATTACAGACTCTAGCAGGATGGAGCACCCACAGGCAACAGGTGTACATCTCTGTAATGATCCTGGGTCACAACAATCCTGGTCCAAAGGGCTAACCACCCACAAGAAGATACTGGCTCCAACCTCATCCCATGAAGCAAAATGGTGATTTGCTTCTGTGAGAGGCTTAGGGGCCAGTGTGCCATATTTGCTCCATTCTGCAGTGTAACACAGAAGCTGTAGTCGTGCTGTAGTCTAAGAGCCTCACATTCTCTTCCGCTCCAGGATGGTCATGGGGAGCAGTAGACCCAGTGGCCTTTCTCTGGATATCAAGAACAAGCAGCGCCCAAGACACTATGTTCTCTTAACCTCTTAGAGCCAAAATCAACCTTCTAGAAATCTCTAGAGAATTACATCCCTCCTTCCAGTTCCCAGCGATCCAATGGGATACACACACATATACATATATACATTTATGTATATATATTAAATCTCTGAAGTCTTGAGAATGTCCACCTGTGCAAAGGTGTATTCATTTGACAACTGTGCCCCTCACTTGTCAGTTTAAGATTTTTTGAAAAGTATGAATGTTATATATTTTTCACCTGGTTGCCCATCATGCTGCCTCTCTTGTCTTCATGGTGATTATTTATTATGTAGTTATAAAAGGTCTTTACATAGTAAGCATAGTAATCTATGGCCTGAATTTTCTGTTTACTTTATAAATAAAACCCTGCTTACCAAACTATAATTTTTCAATAAAATTTCTGGAATGTACTGAGCTCTGAAAAGACAAGAATATTTTCTATAATATAGTTTCAAGTATTATTGTGCTATTTTCATTTAATTTCAGAGAAATAGGAAAACAAGAAAACACAGTGATAGTAGTCACTCATATGTTTTCTGTTTTTTAAGCAGCAGGTTTATTAAGCTGTATACCACACAATGCACCTATTCAAAGTGTAGGGTTCAATTAGCTTTGGTTTATATCCACTCCATTTTGCCACAATCATTTGAAAATATTTTCACAATTCCAAAAATAAACCCTGTACCTACTGCCAGTCGTCTCCCATTTTCCCATGAACCAAGCTAGCCCTAGAAAACCATCAATCTGCTTTCTAATTCTAAGGATTTGCCTACTGTCAACACTTAATATAAATGAAAATCACATAATATGTTATACCTTGTGAATGATTACTCTCACTACATTTTCAATCTATTTCAACCAAATCTCACAATTTTATAGCATGTATCAGTGCTTTGTTTCCGTGTATTGCCTCATAATAGTCACACGTACAGACCACATTTTTTTTATTCATTCATCAATCAATGGACATTAGGACTGTTTCCAGTATTTGCTTATACTAAACAATACTGCTGCTGACAACTTTTTTATTAGACTTATGATTTCATTCTCTTGAGTAGTTGCCTAGGAATAAAATCTCTGGGTGAACTGGAAAGGTTTTTGTTTAACCTTTTGGGGTACCCACATTCTTTTCCAAAGAAATATGTCTCAAGTTACATTCCTACCACCAATATATGGTGCCAATTCCTCCATATCTTTGCTAAATACTTTTTATGATCTCTCTCCTTACAGTCATTCTAGTTAAGTGTGATATGGTGCCTTACAGTTCTTGCTTTCATTTAACCTGATGGCAAACAACACTGAGCATCGTTTTACATGAACTAATCTATGAACTAACCAAGATATAATTATAGCAATTAAGGAGGACATTTCAAAGCAATCATCATTGGAAAAACAACTGGAAAAATACATGTCTAATTCTTCAGTAATACTTCTTCAGATAGGCAGATTTGCAGAGAGAAGGATCTTCTGTACACTGATTCACTCCCCAAAGCTTTCTACTTTTTTTCACTAAACCTTACTTTGATATCTACTTTTTACTGCTTATCTTCTCGCAGATTTCTTACACACTTCCAATCATTATCTGTTGGTAAAAGTGATTCTATATTTCTCTCATTTATAATAAAAGGAGACTTCAAAAGTTTAAAGTAGAACTAAAAATAGGTTTGTTTTGGTACAAAGTTATTAAAATTCATGCCTACTTTTTTCAAAGGATGCATGTTCCATGAACTTTTTCAATACTCACTCATATACATGAATGCAAAGTCATTTACATGAAAGCACTTACTTTTAATTCTATTTTCCATGAACTTTGAAAGGTATGCTTATTAGGAATTATGTTTTTGTCATTTTGAGATTAGATGGGCAGAGGGCTTTCTGCAAAGTAAGACTTTAGTTTTACCAATTTCATAACTTTTTTCTAATCTATTAATTTTTATGGTTTGGGGCAATAAATATATTAACTTGCTTTTCTTGTGTATATCATTTGCTTTTCTGTTTTTTTTTTTCTTTCCCTTCTAAATCCTCAGATCTGGTATTCAACTCATTAAATTTTCCAGCTTATTTTTTTTTTAAGAACGATTTAAACCATTTTACCAAGGATGTTTTAGGTTGCATCTGATGTTTTGTTGTAATATGCTTACTTCCCCTAGTTTCTACAGAATTTCTTAGACTCCAGAGTTTATTTATTTATTTATTTAATGATCTTACTTAGTTGATTAGGGTACAAAGGGTCAAGGTCTACTGGAAAGTGGGTAATACCATTGTTTCCACACTAATATCATTTTTTCCCCTGTATCTGGGATCAGGGGAGAAACAAAGGGAGAAGCTCCACCCAGCCTCCCACCCATCCCAGGTCCCCGATGTGAGGCATGCTCCAAGGGTCCTGCTTAAGCAGTTTTGATAGTTCAACAGTTACGAATCTCGCTGTTCCAATTGCAATGAAATCTATTCAGAATCCACTGGCTGACATAGTCTCTTCATGGTTGGGGTTCTGAGATCAGCAGTTCAGTTGGAGGGATTTCCAAATAAACTTCATCTGAGATGATCCCAAACCTGATTCTTATGTGAATTTGTCAGTACAGGGTATGGCACAGTCCATCGCCCCAATCAGCTTATGCACGTGCTGGTAGTTGCAATTGCTGGGTCAGTTCTGTTTCCAGCCCTTTCAGGCAAGCCAATGGGTGTTGTAGTACAGCTCAATCCTACCCACTTCATACTCAGTCCTCACGCAAGCCAGTGGGAGCTGCAGCCTAGTTGGAGTGACTCCCCATAACCCCCACCAGGCCTGTTCCCTACCCTGGTTCCCATGCATGTCAGTATGTACCGCTGGCTTGTTCAGTCTGTCCCACATCCCATTTAGCTCTGGTACTTATCAATGGGCATTGAAGCCTAGTTCAACCCAACCAACCTACTATCCAGCCCACACACATCCTGGAGGGATCCGCTCTGTCTAGCCACCCCTGCCTCTGTCCTGGCTTTCGTGCTCTCCAGTGGGAATGGTCACCCATGAGGGAGGTGCCCACTATCTCCCTACTAGGCCACTCCAACTTCTGGATTGTGCACTCTCCAGGTGGTTCTGGCATTTAACTTAACAGAATTGGCCCCCAATGCCAGCCTCTGCCAGTTGATGATGTGGCAAAGCCCAACCAACCCTCACCCACTCTAATTTTTGCTTACACCAATCAGAACAGTCAGCCCAATCTGGCCCCTCCCCAATCTAGCTCACATGAGGTCCACAGGTGTTGTAGCCCTGCCTGGTCTGCCCCTGTCCCAATTCATACTCTCCAGTGAGAGTGGTTGTCCAGCTAGAGAGCCCACATTCCCCTGCAAGCTTTGCCTCCTCCCCACTGGTTCTCACATGTGCTGTCTGGGCGCTGCAATCACATCTGGTACAGCTTACCTCACCTTGGCATTCCTTAATATGCACTGGTATGTGTTGCGGCTGAAACTGGCCTGACCCACACTCTATGCTGGTGCTTGAATTCGCCAGCGGTTGATGTGAATGGGTTCAGCCTGCTCTGCCCGCCACCTATGGCATATGTATGATGGTGGGTATCTTCCTCTCGCCTGGTCTGGGTTACTCCATATCGTGGTTCTTGCGCTCACCTGTAGTGGCTGTGTTCCAACAGAGGAGTTTCCCAAGTTCTTCATTCAGAACCTCTCCCTATGCCAGGTCTTGGACGTACTGGTGGTTCCATGGGCCAGCCCTCATTGCTGGCCTTCAATCCATTCAAGGTCTTGGTGTTGGCTGTTTCACCCCAAGCAAGGCTTGTCCATACCCAGATACTGTTCACACATGGCTCAGTAGGGGCAGAGACCCAGCCTAGTCCGTCCTACATCTACCCAAGTTCTCCAGAGCACCAGATTGTGAAGGCATCTAGCCCAGCTTGGTGCACCCAGCCCCAGTTCACATTTGTGCTTAGGGAGATTGCAGC